ATAAAAAAGAGATAAAAATATACAAACACAGAAACAAAGCAATAAATTTATACACAAGAAATCAAGAGCAAGCAAGAAACATTTCCAAATAATAGTGTGCCAATCAAGAAAGTGATGTGCACAAAATGTAATAGAGAGAGAGCCAACTGCTCAGGGAGTGAGTGTGTCATGCTCCTATTGGTGAAGGATTGCCGGATGAGCTATGCATGCTAAATGAGCAGAGGGAACTGAGAAGTATAAAATGGTGTGTTAGGCAAGAAATAAGATTTTTTAGTGCATTAAAGGGCAGTCCAAGATCGAGAGAAGCTTTATATTTGATCAAAGGTGTGTATTGTATCGGAAGTTAATTTATGTTGTGATAGGAGAGAAAAATAATTTGTCGTGTCTATTGGGTTCTAAAGTAACTGAATCAGCCTGTGTTGACTTTTTGACAAAAAAGATAATTATTTAAAGCTTCAGATTCAACTGTGGTAAACAACAGTGTAAGGAATTTTCGCACATACATTTAACTTGTTTTGAATATATATTATTTTAAAACAAGTGAATTGCGTGCTGTCCATTTATTGTTGAAATTTATTGCCAACAAGTCACAGACTCCTGCTATAAAGAAATCCAGCCCCTATACAGAACCTGACACCTCCTAAAATTAACATACACTATATGCACCACAGAAAACACTGATGAAGAAATTGCACACTTAACTCAATGCTTTACTAACATAAACTGATTCCTATTACAGCAAGTTCACAAATTATCAAATTTAAAAAACACAAACAAGGTACATTTAACAAGCAAACTCAAAAAACACTCCACAAAACAAACCTAATCACTTGCACTATTCCATATATACAAAATATTAGTACACCTCTATCAGAAATGTGGAAAAGACTAACACACAAACAAAACCTTAACATAATGACTAGATTCATTTTCACCCCTGGAATGAAAATTAAACACATATTAAGGAAATTATATAATAAACCCACCCCACCAGGAAACACTTATAAAACATGGTGTAACAATTGCCCAGCCTTTTACATAGCTGAAACAGAATGTAATTTGAACATCAGATTAAAAGAACACCAAAAACCCCCTTTCCAAGTCCATGAACATATGAACAAAAACAACCAATTTTTCTAAACAGAAAATTGCCACATTAAACCATGAGCCTGACATTAACAGAAGAAGAATAACAAGTCTTATTAATAAAATCAAAAAATCTCACAATTAACAAAATCCCAGGCATATCTTTATATGTTGTTGATCATTATTCCCTCAGAGATTCTTAATCTTATGCAAATCTTTTGCACAATATATTCCGTATATTCATGTAAATTGATGTACAAATGCACCACTGATTCTCTAATTTAAATTAAATACAGTTAGATTGTTAATGTTGATTTAAGTACAAAAACCTTCTTTACTGTTAAAACCTATGTACTTGAGAATGATCACACCATTGATCAAAACATCATAACTGTTTAAAAAATATTTTTCCTTACTTTAAAATTAGTAACTTTTATAAAAACAAATTCTTATAATCAGTAAGTAAACTCAAAATAATATATTATTTAATATTGTACAAGTACATACACATCAAGAGGGGTCCGAAACCCCTTCCATTTTCTTCAGAAGATTAAAAAAACAGCCAGATGTCTTACAATACCATATAATATAAAAACAAAACATAAGATGTCAAAATTTTGTGTGATTGGGCTAGAAGGTACCAAAAAAGTTTTTTTAAAGTTTTCTGAAATCAACACAGCTGGAAACTACAGTAATTAATTTAAGAACTCAGTTTGTAACTGATTACTTCTAAGCTAAAAAAGCAATATGAACATCAATTAAACATTGGCATGGTAAATTTTCGTGCCTTGGCTTCTCCATACAGTAACAATGTGTCTAGACTTTAGAGAATTACTTCCATCAAAGTTAGTATTCTTTAGGACACCTGCAGCTCTTATCAATAAATTTGTTACAGGATCATTTTTACATTGTTTAGAAGTTAGTATTCCCATGTGAAAGATGTTTTTCCTATTGTTGATGTCTAAAATAAGTGAAAATGCATGTTGTATGATTGTATAAGTAACACTTTTTAAAAAACATTTTAAAAATAGAGATATTTTTTCTAAATATGATTACAAATAGTTAAAGTATTTTATTATAATATATAATTCAAAATATTTTTAACTGCTTTTATTTTCATATCAATCACATTACTAGAAATCAGTAGATAATAACCTGACTGAGCTAATTATTTATAGAATATATTAATGTTATTTTAATTTTGTTTGACTTTTTTAGGTTACTTTAGGACTATATAGTCAATACTGATTAATCCAAAAATATTTATTATTACAGTAGAAGTCTCTTTCATGTAAAAAAATACTGAGAATTTGGTTACTGTGTTACACGGTTAACTTTTAAAAGTTAACTGGTATTACACTATCATTGTAAAAATGAAACCTTACTTCATAAGATAGTTATAATTATTATAAAATAAATTTATATTATTCTAATTTTTATGTTGTTTGACTTTTATCTAATTGAAGAATATCAAAGAAATACTAATTTTTGTTTTCTCTGGCTAAGGACTTGTTTGCCTAATAAATAAAATGAGTTCTGATTATTCATTTCAATTGGTTGGTTACAAATCATTTAAGTAGCTGTGTAGTTATAGATATAACACTTAAGACCTCATTGTTATCCTGAACATGTAAAACAATAACGAATTGTCTGGAATAACAAATCTGGAAAAGTGTGTATGGTATTGTTGTATCAGGTGACTGATAAGTGAATAAATCTTTTTTATTTCTAAATGTTAAACAATTGAATTGGAATGAATGTATAATACACTTTCATGTACAAAGATTAGGCTAAACAAGTGATTTAATTTTAAATTATTGTCCCCGAAGTCTGAAGAAACAGTTTCCTCTAACTTTTCATATTTTGTAGCCACTTGATAAAGTTGAGACACAAATTTTGATTTCAATTCTACAAGTTAATTCTAGCTATATTTCAAGAATTTTAACTTGAAAAAAAATTTTAAATTAATTTGCTTGTTTAAACTCTTCACACTTGGAGATTCTTATTATTAACCTTGTAAGATTTTAAACTTGTTTGATATTTTTACAATCTTGATTTTACAAATTAGAATTTGGATAGGATTTGTCATGGTATTACAAGAGTGTATGATAGTGATTTTCAAGTAGATCATGACATAATAACAAAATTCTGTACATAAATTTATTATTCCTTTACTGTTTCTTGCATTATCTTAGATTTTTCGAACTGTTGCTTTAGCAAGGACTATTATAATCTTGTGGTGCAGGTTTCCAATAGTAAGGTGAAATATGTTGTATTGCACATGAGATACATTTTCATGTACAAAATTTAGGGTAAAAAGTTATTTAATTTTAAATCATTGTTCTCAAAGTCTAACGAAACATTTCCTTTGGCTTTTCATATTTTTTTACTGCATGCTCAGGTTTTGAGAAACACAAATTTTAATAATAATTTTATATGTTCATGATAGCTATGTTTCAAGAATTTAGTTTAAAAATAATTTTGAATCCACATTTTATGATTTTATTATGTTTATTTAATACAATTCATATTTTCATTTCTGCACAGCTGCAAAGAGTTTTGCCAGTAAACAAAACAGCCCACTCATAATTTTTTTTAAGAACTTTAATGCCCATTCCAAAGAACTTTTTTTTTTTACTAATAACCTATCACCCCTTGAGAATATATTATCCATTTCTTGATTTTCAATCATTTCCATTAGTTTTTGTATAGGCTTTGGTTGAAACCTTGTTATGGTGTCATATGAGAGGGTTTGATCATTTATTAGTGAAACACAGCTTTGAAACCAGCTATAAAGAAAGTTTAAATACGATTGGATGGAGCAAATATATAGGTTTATGAATTTTTCTTATAATATCCATAAAATTCCTTATAGTTCCTTTGTTTGTGAATTGTGAAAACATTTGTGTTTAATTATGTCTGTTTGAAAGCTACAGAAATTTTCTCCAATGAGAAAGCAAAGATAACTTGAGATAATGTAATCTTATACAGTACAAAGATGGGTTAAACAGGTATTAAAGAAAACTTTATTAAAAGTTTAACACAGTAACAAATGAACAATATTTGGAGAAGGTTTTGTCAGTATCGGGTACAAGTAATTTACTTAGACGCATGAATATATTTATATATATACAGTATGAAACAAAAGGCACATGACTGGAGGTTGCTTTAGGCTTAATAAAGGTATCTTGTTGATACTTGGTTCTTTGTTTAAAATTATAGTGTTTTTACTTTTTAATAATATACTATGACTTTACTGAATTTCAAATAAGATATAATTAGCTAAATTCAGTAAGTATGGTAGGCAAACAGACGGGCCTAGCATGACTTGGTGGTTAGGGTGCTCAACTTGCAATCTGTGGGTCATGGGTTCAAATCCTGTCACTGAATATGCTTGCCCTTTCAGCCGTGGGGGAATTATAATGTAATGGTCAATCCCACTTTTCATTGGTAAAGAGTAGCCTAAGAGTTGACAGTGAATAGTGTTAAATAGTTGCCTACCCTCCCCTCTAGTCTCATTTTTAAATTACAGACAGCTATTGCATGATAGCCTTCAATTAACTATGCACAAAATTTAACAAATAAACAATGGTAGGCAATTGCAAGATATTCTGATGATTCAAACAACATACATAAATAAATTGGCTAAATGGCTACTTAATCATTTCTGATTGCGAGCATGTCACATTGGACAACAGAAAAACCAAGTGCGTGTTCTGAGATTGAGGATGGAAATCTGGAATAAAAGAATATTCATTCTTAATATCTGCTAATGACAGTACAAGGCTAGACTTTATGTAACAGGTGATGTGTGCATGTTCATAAGTGGCAGACAACTTTTAGAACTTCTCATATGTAGGGAGAAGGTTATTTCTACTTGTAATTTATACTCTATATTTATTTGTTCAACTCACCTCCTTCTCTAGGACCAAGAGCTTTTTCACAGCAACTATCTTCTTTTGAGAAATCCACAGAGCTCGATACACACTGCCGAAAGCTCCACCACCACATCGTTCATAAAATTCTAAATCGCTGACATCAACTTCAACAAAAGGACATAAGTTTAAACTTTCACTAGTAACAGATCCAAGACCTTGGTCAGACTCTATTTCATGTTCTTTAACAGATTTAGGCAAAGAAGGTGTATCAGTAGATATATACAACTGTAAAAAACTCTCTTTTAAATTGAACTCTGGATTAGACTCCATATGGACTGTATTGATTTCTGAAGACCTGGATGACTTAACAACTTCTAAGTCTTCTTCTACACTGTCATCTTCAAGTTGAGAATCTACCACAGGAACAGGAAGAAATTCACCACACTGAGCAGCCATGTTTATGAAGCCCAGTGCAGATTCACATGAATAATACTTTAAAACTGTTGACAAAATCTGTAAAAACAAAAACACTTAATGGAAAACAACCCACATTATTGTTCCTTCAAGACATATTATATAAAAGTATTGGAAATTAATAAAGCATACAGTAGATATAAACATGACTGTGTACCATGTGAAAGCAAGCTGATGATACTTGAGTACTCACTCTTCCCTTCACAGTAAAGTCAATGAGGTTGTATGTATTTACTTTATCATAATGTGTATTTTACTTATCTAATACCATTCTTCAAGTTATTAATTTGCATAAAAAATTGGTGCAATCAAAGTCAACTATAATATTATCATTCTAGTGTTTTACAAACACTCTTTTTATTATGCAATGCAATACATAAATGATATTCCCAAACTACATTTAACCCCCCAAGTATTTGAAAATGCTGGGGATCAACATCTTCTTCCCCAATAAGATTGTATATAAATGCAAAATGTACATTTTTGGCCACAAAAGTAATGCATGCTACACATATTTTTCCTTCATATTTCACTTTTACTCACTCAGAAATTCCTCGTTCCAAATGTGTAAAATTAGCATTTCATACCAATGTTTTGTTGTTGTTTTTTGCCATAAATCATTCACCACAAGACCTTTTTTTCAATACCAGTAACCATCATCTAGGCTACATTTATGGCAGCCAAAGATATATATTTATGCAATACAAGCAGAAGCCAAATTTCTTAAAAAATAAAATTACGCACCATAAAATTGCTGACCATGCAACAGTTCTGCAAAGAAGATGAAAATACTGCTTTGATTACGCATCAAAATTTTCAGTAATATAACCCTTACCCCAAAAAAAATAGCTTCAAATAATAACATTTAACAGAATATCATGTGACGCAATTCTACAGTGAATAGCAATTTAACAATTTTATTTCTTATGAAATGACAAAAACTCTTTTTCAGGCCATTAATCATACTGCTTGGCTAGCAAGCAATACTTGCAAAACAACATGAAACAAACTAAGTCATAATCAATACAGTTATAGCGCTGGAAACAATGACCAGAAAAATTCTGACTTTGATTATGCAGTCATATGTTAAAATGGTAGCTGAAAAAGATGTTGTTATTATGGGAGATTTTTTATTTCAGGGGTACTGACTGGGAAAATTTCGAGTCTGACAGTGAGGGGGACAGGTTTTTGGAAATTGTTCAGGATACTTTTATACACCTGGTTATGGAACCTACAAGAGAGGAAGCTATATTAGATTTAATATTAGCATCCGCTGTGGTTGGTGAGCATTTAAGTACAAGCGACCATTGCACTACTAGATGTAAGATTTCACTAAATGTAGAATTGAAGAGGAATAGTACCCTGATTCCAAATTTCAGGAAAGTCAATTTTGATCAAATGAGACATGATCTGGCTTCTGTAGATTGGACTAGAAAGTTGGGAGAGGATCTTGAACAGATATGGGAAGCATTTAGGGAAAAATTAATATGTATACAGAAGTTATAATTTTCCTATACTGAAAATGTATTTCCAATATGTACTTACATCACAATATTAGCTGTTCTCGTTCAGTGCTATATGCGAACGTTTTCTTTATGCATGCCACAACCCATGCGTTCCCCCCTGTTGGAATTAGTACATTCAAACGTGTCTCTCATGCAAATCATCATGTTTCATCTATTAACTAATAGTAGCATGGTATGGTCACGTGGTGCATGTGACTCCCTCTACACTCATCTACTGAACCTTCACTTCGAAGTTTGGCAGAAGGTGTAAGCCCCAAAGAAGTGGAGAGGAAGTGTGAGAGGAGGTAAGTAACTATCAGAAATACATTTTCAGTATAGAAAAATTATAACTTCTGTTACGGTACTTACCTCTACTCACAAGATTAGATAGGATCCCACATTGAGAAGGAGGAGGGAACCGGTGCAAGGGAATAACAGAAGCATCCCCAAAAGCATCTGAAGGATACCCCTGATCATAAGAGAAAGAGATCCAGAGATCAGAGGATAAGAATCGCATCGCTTATGAGCCAGGTATACTCTTCACCCTTGTGTATAATTCACAGAACACATGGGCAGAAATTGCGAGGTGCAGAATGGCTAGGGTGCATCGGACTGTACTAAGCAAGTCACCTACATCCAAAACCTCTTTTATAGGGTACCAACATCCATGGGAGGGTAGGATGAGGATCATACCATTTTCACCTCCAAACCAAGAATTGGGGGTTAAGATACACTTCAATTCCACGGTACTACACAAGAATTGGGGGTTAAGATACACTTCAATTCCACGGTACTACACAAGGATTAACACATTTCAGCAAACCAGAACTGGCTATCCAGCATCGAGAAGATGGATTCAACTTGTGCAAGGGCTTATATTGATTGGTTCACTCAAATCCAACACCTCAATGCTGGGAACTAACATCCACGTGAAGGTAGGATGAGGGCTACCAATGAAAAGAGTTGAACTGCATGTGTGACATATCAACTCCATGTGGTATGGAATGTGTAACAGGAGGCTATATCAGTCATTTAGGTGACAGATCAACTCAAATGTATGTGTAAAGGAACAGTAGGAGGCCATTCAACCAGTTTGGTAACAGATCAATTCCACAGTAGTGTTAATAGTATCAGGAGGCCACATCCACCAGCAAGGGGAGGGATTAACTCTTGTGGAGGCCACGTCACATCTACACCAACAAAAACAACTGGCCTACTCTCGACTGAATGGTTATAGCCAACTTTTAGTGGAACCCATTCAGGAGAATGCCTCAATGATCAACCACTCGAAGAAGGGAGGTGAGAATGCGTTGGAGAGTCTGGAGGTACGTCACCACTGGAGAAAGTGAATTGGGTGACCACAAAACCCTATTCTGAAAAGTAGACCATACCGAGTTATTCACTCAAGGCATGGCAAGGGATGGGCAGCTATCCCATGCTGCTTTACCCATGCCATTCACGAGTGGTACGGTCCAGAACAGACATATTTATGAAGCAACTATCTCAAAGTAGATAACTTTCTAGAAATTTTGTGGAACATCCCATCTCTACGGTGACTGGGTAGAGCCATGGACGAGAGAGTGTGAGTCAACATGGCTTATACTTCAGGTTTTAAGTTAAAGAATACCTGGTCAGGCACCACTCGCCACAGAGCGGGATCCATGTGAAAAAGAGGGAATAAAGAAAGGTCCCTGAAAAAGTGGAAGATGAATAAAACTTGCCAGTTAAAAATGTTGCACTGAAGTCTGCAGCACGGCCACAGGTAGAAAATGAAACCCCAATGTAGAGGAAAGCGAGATGTGATGATGATAATGGGCATGATCCACATGCCAGCTTGGAGAATCTTCTCCAATGGATAACCAAGATGGGAAGCAAAAGATAATGTGAGATGACGAATTTGATGGAAGGACACATGGAACCAGGTAAGGGAGGAAGAAGGTAAAGATGAATAGGCAAACATACCAGAAGAGGGACCCAATTTGTAAGAGTAGAAGGGGAAAGTTCTTGAACGGAGGAGGATTGCCACAGTGAAAAGAGGGTTGTGCATACTTCGGAGGGTAGATATACATGCAATATCAGAGTTTAGGGCCCTGACAGGACAGCAGTCTATAGGGGTCTGAACGTGGGCAAAGATGGGAGATAGAAGGTAGGGAAGTAAGAAAAAACGATGAACAATCTTCTTCAGCTGCTATGGTCTTGGGGAGAAAGGAACGATCAGGATAAAGGAAAAGACAGGTAGGATGATAAAGGGTACATGAAACATCAATAGCCAATAAATCAGATCGGCAATGTCTGCAGGCCAAAAGGAGAAGGAAATAGGTCTTAAGGAACAAATGAAACAAATAACACAAGGAAAGTGGTTCCGACAGAGGACCACATTAATGTCCCAATTCAGAAAGGGAGGATGCCTGGAAAGCCTTTGAATTCAGAAGGAATGCATGAGCATAGTGAGATGGAAAGTAACAACCCTACAGTATCTGGAGAAATGGAAGGTAGAGGAAAGGGCTGCCATATGTCAGAAATCAAAGAGACCAAAAACCCCAGGGTTGAGAATCCAGGTAAGAAATTATGCCAACTAAGCCACCAAAGGCTTGGCAGCAGAAAATCCCCTGCCAGCAGACCAACAGCAGAAGACCTTCCAGTTGAACTGATAAACATCCATGGAAGATTGACAAATGGAAGTAGCTAACAGGGAGGCAACTCAATGTATGTACCTGGGTCTCCTCACCAAAGACTAGACAAAAGCCAGGTGTGAAGATGAAGGATGGGGAGGTGGGGATGAAGAGCATGGAATCGAGGTTGATGCAGAAGGGAGGGAAACAGTGATAGAACCTCTCAAGCAGTAAGTGACTGAGCTGAGAGGGCACAGTGAACTAAAAGTTCCATAGAACTGAGGCGTAAAGAAAAGTATTGGGTGGGTCAAAGGATCAACTTCTCAAATTTTATCAACCAGCCTAATCAAAGCTCCCACAGGTAGGAGCTGTTGAGTGTAACTGGTTGACTACTGCTTGGAATGAGCTAGAAATACCCAGTCATCTATGTAATGATAAAACCTCAACCTCAAAATATGAATATGATGCAACAAAGATGGGATTGAAGGGCTATGGGAATATGGAAACTGGCTTTGGAGACATCCATCTCAGGGTAAGAAAGGACTCTATAGTGAACTTGGGGAGTTCGATGAAGCGGTAGAGGCTCGATAAATCGATGACTGGTTGCTAATCCCCAGTGCACTCGGGGACCACGAAAAGACGGGAGTAAAATCTTTCCAAGGGATGGATGGCGAATTAGTTTAGTAGCCTACTGCAAGAGCAAATCCTGAGCTACCTCTGACATACCCTGGTAAGTCACAGGATCTTGAGCAGGAAGAAAGGAAACAGGGTGAGGAGAAATGAGATGCAGGTAAAGAAATGTGAGAACGAGTCCCTCTGAAAGAACCTTTGTCACCCATTGATCCTCAACAAAGGGGAGCCATCAAGGAAGAAAATACAACAAACGAGCTCCCACAGGCTCTGAACCCACCAGGTAATCACT